AAGGTAAAGATTGACCTTATCAGGGAAAATACCGACCTAGGACATGACTACCTACCATAACTGCTTTTAGTTAAAGTTTCAATTTTAGACCATCCTTTGTGGTCACTTTAGGTCTTGAGTTTGCAAGACCACCGTGCAGGCCTTCCCTGAGCTTGTCAGGTTAGCATGCGGCCTCTTTCGCCCACATCTCAAAGCACATTAAATATAAAAGAAAAAGTTGCATAGGAAAACACACACCATGATGTCACTTATATAGAATAACATGCAAAGCAGTATTACATATTGGTTGGAGGTACAGGTATAAAACTGTATGGGAATAATAAATGCCAAATTTAGGATACTGATCACCTCCCGAAGGAAGATAGGAAAATGAAGTTGGATGGGTTATTTCTTAACTTGAGTGGATAATACTTGGTTGTGTGTTATATTAGCCTTTACACATTTTTGCATCTATTAAATATTATAAAATAAGTTTTGAAAAATGTCATTATTCATTTCAATTTTGCAGGGTGTGTTTTTTTATGCCAGAGTCCATTAATACTTCTCCCAGGCTGTATTAGTTTCCTATTGCTATGTTAGCAAATTGCCAGAAATTTAGTGGCACACAAATTTATTATTTTATTGTGCTGGCCCCACCTCCCATGTTCAAAGCCAGCAGCATAGCATCTTCAAATCTCTTCCCCTACACACACACACACACACGCACGCACACACACACGCGCGCACACACACACACACACACGCGCGCCCCCTGCCATTTCTGTCACCATATCTCTTCTGAATCGGACCTTCCTGTCTCCCTCTTACAGGACCCTTCTAATTACATTGGCCCACCCAGATAATCCAGGATGATCTTCCCATTTCAAGTGTTGTAATGAACCCCACGAATCACACAAGGACGCCTCAAGAAGTCGAATTAAGGAGTCATATTTATTGCAAATGCTGGACTACCTCAACACCAGATTTATATAAGCAAAGATCACAAAGGTATTGATTACATCCCAGGGTTTGGAATGAGGACCCCGGTTTGCACAAAGCAGTTACAGAAGCGAGATTGAGCCGATTAGTTATCTACAGAGATTAATTATAGTTTTGGGTCTTCGGACCACTGAGTTGACAGAAACACATTATCTAGAGCCCTCGGGTCTTGGAACCACTGAGTCGACAGGGACACATTATCTGGAGCCCTTGGGTCTTGGGATAAGTGTGCTGTCCTGGTTCCCAGGTACAGAGGAATGTGCTTTCTAAAACCAGTATGACCACAACCAATGGGATAGTCACATTATAATCAATAAGGCATTCAATCGAATGGGATGATTTATATAATTCAGAAAATCAAAATAACTTTTCTATTGTTAAACAAAGCAAATAAGTACAGAAGCCAAACAGCGGGGTTAAAGTTAAACTACAGTTTCTACCTGAGATGATTGCTACCATACTTCACAAGTTCCTTAGTTTAATCACATCTGCAAAATCCCTTTGCCGTGTATAGTAACATATTCACAGGTTTTGGGGATTGGGACATCTTTGGGGGCCATTTTCTGCCTGACACATGGGCCTTAAGCATTTTACAGGCCCTAGTGCTGTGCCTGTTGTGCTCAGTGGAAACCCCCCTGGCCTGCTTAGTTCTTACTAAGTATCCGACTTGGTTTCTCTGATCTGGATGGGGTTTCGTAGAGGCCTAGAGGTCCACAAAGCAGTTCAGGGTAAGTCCTGGGGGGCGGGGGGAACCACAGAGGCTGGAAATTCCCAAGCTGGAGAGGAGGGTCCAGAACTACTAAGAGTGGCCCTGAACTAGAACAGCTAGATCTCAACATTTCCTCAGAGCAGCTGGACTGATCACTTTAAAACACAAATCTGATCCTGTCCCTCTCCTGTAAAACTCAGTTAAAACTTCCTCTTGGCTTTAGAAGGAGGAACAAAGTCTTTAGACCCAGTTTCTCAACACCAGCGTTATTGACCATTTTAGGCTGGATCATTCTTTGTTGCCAGGGGCTGTCCTGTGCCTGGCAGGATGTTTAGCAGCATCCAGGGCCTCTACCTAGTTGATGCCAGGAGCCCCCGCCCCCCACACACACACACACACAAACACATTTGTGACAACCAAGCTGTGACAATCTTGCCAAAGGTCCCTGGGGGTCAAAACTGCCCTCAGTTGAGAACTCCTGTCCTAGGAGGTCCAACAGGATGTGGGCCCTACCCATCTCCCCAGCTTATTCTCTCTTCTCCTCCCAGCTGAACACAGCAGGGTCCCTCTGGCATCTGGGTTCCGGCATATTCTGTTCCCTCTCCCTGGATCACTCCTTCCCACCTCTCCTCATCTGGTGAATTCTTTCTTTGAGTTGAAGGGGAGGAGAGGTTTCCCACCTCAAATATGCCCTTTTTTTTGGAATATTGTTTATTTTAAGATGGTTTATTTTTTAAAAACAAGCCTCAGGAAGAAACTTTGACCTTCTCCAAAAATTGCCTAAAGGAATTTAGACAGAGAACCTGCTCCAGGAAGAGAGCTATAATCACAGACAACTATGTTTTACATAAACGAAGTGTGGCAGACAGGGAGGAACCCAGGAAGTCTGTTTGTTAGACTCCCCGCTGTGTCCCATTGTTTCTGGGTAGACCTGCAAGAATTTGTTTACCAAATATTTAGTTCCTTCCCATCTCTCTCTGTGAATTGCCTACCTTCCCTTAGAAATATAAACCATTACTCCCTTTCTCCTTGGCTCAAGACGGCATAGAAACCTCACCTGTCAGATTTGCCCTTGGGTCCCCTTGTCTTACAGGAACCCTTGTATGCACATACATAACTACATTTGATCATTTTCTCTTATTGATCTGTCTCATGTCCATTTGATTATTAGACCAGCCAGAATAACTAAAACAGGAAATTTTCCCCTCCCCCGCAGTGTCTCATTCTAAGTCTTCTGTTCAGACACCCCTCTCAGCCCCTGCCCCCCTTCAGTGACCACTGCTACGTGCTGCAGCAAACCCTCTTCACACCTGCCCTTATTAGTCTGCCTCCTCCATCAGACTGACTGCCACCCCAGGAGGGCAGGGCCTGTGGCTGTCTTGTGCCTATGGATTAGCGACAACATGGTCTGTATTATCTCATGATGGAAGACACTGTGGGCTCAATCCCCATCCACCCCATAATCAGACACACAGCACAGCAATCAGACCATGAAGCCGGGTAAATCCCCAAGGAAGAGCCGGGAGTCACTGTCTGCTCCTTGTTCTGTCTGGACGTGTTGGCCCCATTAAAGATTAAATAGTCATTCAGGGTGTGATCTGAAAAAGCCTTTTCCTGAGGGCGGTGAGCGGAGGATTCCGGTGGCTACACATGAGGAATCCTTCGCCCCAGGGGCTCCTGTTAAATGACGCCCTACATTGCGGAGGAGCGAACTGGCACTAGCTGCCAGGACTCTTTGGGAAGAGAGCCAAATAGTGGTCACTCTGCAGATGGGGAACAGCCTACAGGGAGAAGGCTGTTCAGCTCTAGAACAACAGACTGAGACGGCTAAAAGGCTAATTCCAATGTAACCCTGATGTTTGGGGGGCTAGCAATCTGAGTCTGTGCCAGTAACCTAATGTACATTCTTGATAACCTATAATTAAGTCACTGCCCCTTTCTCCACAATCTGGTCTTGCAAGACCTGTTACCTAAATGCTCACATTTTACAGAGGCCATAAACTATGAACAATACACAACCCCCAGAGGGGGTTATCAGCACTGGCACCAGGCCAAGCCCTTAGATATGGTCTCAAGGACCCCATCCCAACACACAGGGCTTTTTGCAAAGCCCAGAAAAGGTCTGGAAGTCCCATCCATATTTGGGGGACAAAGAAACCAAAGGGGATAAAAGAAGAGTTTCCACCGTATTGGTTTGCTCAGACTTTGGAAGCAACTCCTCTGAGACCGCCGGCGTAATAAAGCTGTGTACCTCCATTTCTCTAAGCGTTGCTTGGGTTTTTTCGGTCTTCTACAACAAGCCCATTCATAGGACAGCACCAGGAAGAGAAATTGAGACCCTGGCCAAATTCCCTTTGTCCACCCCAACCTGAGGCATCTAAAGGCAGGCAACGCAAAGGTCTAACACACCACAGAAACTCAGTCCCAGCTCGTCAACCGATCAATGCTTTTACCTGGTTCAAAAGTTGCCGGTGAGACACTGAAATGAAATCCTCGGGACAGGGCTGAAAAGACAAGGCCCAGCCCCCAGCAGTAGGTGCCCAAATTTCCCGTGACAGGTAGGCTGTCCTTGCTGTCTGCCTGGGCCGGTCCTCATAGTCTCCCAGCACAAAGTCACCCAAGCCAAGTCAACCATGTTGCTAAAGCCATATACTCCTTGCATTATTATGTGTTTAGTATGTCCCTTTAAACATATGTACCTTTCTCCATAACAAAAGTAGTTATTTTCTGATATTTTAAATAATGTATGCTCATTGTAAAAAATGCAAACAATACCAAAAAAAAGCATAAGGAAGACAAAAATCACCGGGATCTGACCGCCATCAACATTCTGCTGACCCTCCTTTTCTACATCTCTTTATCCAGATGTTCACATAAATGTGATCTTACACACATACAGCGGCTTTCTTTTGCTCAAATACATGTATTAAAAGGAAACTTTCTATTAGCATCACTAATAGCAAACTGCCATCACTTGTCAGAATAGAAGGCAACCCCCAACAAGCAAATACAACACAAAGCAACGTTATTAAATATCCAGTCAGATACCCCAGCTCCCAGGTCTCCAAAGCCTCAGGCCCAGTCTCTCAGAGTTAAAAGGGGGGAATTAGCAAGCATTCCACAGGGTTGACGGGTTAGACCAGTGGTTCTCAACCTTCTGGCCCTTTAAATATAGTTCCTCATGTTGTGACCCAACCATAAAATTATTTTCGTTGCTACTTCATAACTGTAATGTTGCTACTGTTATGAATCGTAATGTAAATATCTGATATGCAGGATGGTCTTAGGTGACCCCTGTGAAAGGGTCGTTCGACCGCCAAAGGGGTCACGACCCACAGGTTGAGAATCACTGGGTTAGACCAAAGGGAGTCTTTCCCCCAGATACAATTAGAAGTATTGAAAGAGGATTAAAAGACAATCTCTCTCTACTTCCACTGGTATCTGTTCCATATCTATGCCGTAGACTCAACTTTCTGGGGTGCCCTCAAGTATCTCCCACATTCTAGAAAAAAGGCGGGGGGCAGAGCCTGTCGGGTCCCCTCAGGACAGTGAGAGGAGAAAGGCCCTATTCCTGCTTTCTCTCTCCCCTTCCAGGGGACCCAGCCCCTTCGCCCCAGAAGCCTCAGAAATCTAGAAAGCCTCTCACCGCACCTTGGAGGCTCCAATCCAGGCCCTGCCTCCCCTCAGTGCCAGGCATCCCTCCTTCCTCAGCCTGGAGCCCACAGGAGACATCAGGGTTCTTCTTCTCCCTTTTTCACAAAGACTCTTCTGTCTCAGGAACCACCATTCCTGGGCAGGAGACCCAGTCTTGTGTGTGTCCATGCTGGCACAAGCCTTTCTGCCATGGGCTGGGTCCTCTGGAAGGGGAGAGAGGGCAGGAATAGTGTGGGCAAGCAGGGCACCCAGGGACCGGCCCATGCTGCAGACCCTTCAACCCCAAAAGTTGTCTAACCCTCACTTATCTAACCCTCTTCCTGGCCTGGGAGGCAGGGAAGGGCCATGAGGCATTCAATAGTGGTCCTGGGACCATCTGGTAACCATACGGAAAGTGATAGCATTGGATTTTTACCTTACCATACCCTACATCATATACAAAATAATAAAAGCCTACTTTGCTAAGTGTCCGACCGTTTGTTCCACCATTTGACCAGTCGCTATGACGTGCACTGACCACCAGGGGGTAGACGCTTCAACCGGTAGGTTAGCTTACTGCTGAGGTCTGGTTGATTGGGACTGGGAGAGACAGGCCAGACACACCCTGGACAAATCCGTGCACCAGGCCACTTTCAGCCCGATCCCTGCAGGCCAGGCCAGGAGACTCCATTGGTGCATGAATCTGTGCACAGGGTCTCTACTATACAAAATAAATTTGGTGTGTGAAGGCCTAAAGATGAAAGGAAACCTTAAAACTTTTTAAAATACAGGAGAAATTTAAAAATTGCTTTGTGATTTGAGGGTAGAGAAGGATTTCTCAAAAAGACACCAAAGAACAAACCATAAGTTAAAATGCTGAGAAATTCAACTGTTAAAGTTACCTGACTACTTTTCTAAAGTCACCATAAACAAAGTTAAAAGGCAAATACAAACTGGGAAAACACATCTGCATTTCAGATAACTGATGAAAGATTAGTATCCAGATTCTATGGGGGTGGACATTTTAAAAGAACATTAAAAAAAAAATAGACAAAAAACAGGAAATTCGCAGAAGAGGAAACATTAATATCCAATAAACACACAAAAGACATTCAAATGCACTACTCACCAGGGAAATGCAAGTTAATATTACAATGAAATGTTGATTCACATCCATGTGGTTGGCAAAAATGTAGAGGCCTGAGAATGCCAAGTTATAGAGGGAGTTTGCCGAAAGGAGAACTCTCTTAGCCTGCTGGAGGGAGTGAAGACAGCCTTAGGCAAGCAGATTGGTGCTACCTGGTAAAGGTGAAGACATGTATGTATGCATAGCTTCTTACCTGGATTCTTTTATGTTTTTTAACTAAAAGAATTAACAAATTTATTTTCACATTTCACAATACAAATGAAACTTGCCTCTTTTTTTTTTTGTCCCCCTACTCCCCTCTGAAACTATTCTCTCTGATAAGAAGGGGGAGCAAGTCTTCCTTGTCATGCCATTAGAAAAAAACCAGCCCAAACCGGTTTGGCTCAGTGGATAGAGTGTCAGCCTGTGGACTCAAGGGTCCCAGGTTTGATTCCGGTCAAGGGCATGTACCTTGGTTGCGGGCACATCCCCAGTAGGGAGTGTGCAGGAGGCAGCTGATCGATGTTTCTCTCTCATCGATGTTTCTAACTCTCTATCCCTCTCCCTTCCTCTCTGTAAAAAAATCAATAAAATATATTTTTTTAAAAAAACAAACAAAAAAAACACCCAAAGTCACAGCACCATGGTCGCCTGGTGAAGTAGAGAAGTAATATAAAACTGACAGCAAGAGGCTCCCCTCTCTCCTTATCTGTCTGGTGGAGTCATTCCTGGCCAGTGGACATCATCAGGGGATGGGTGAGAGGTCTCATCATTGGGGGACCAGCTGACATCATCCCAGGAGCGGGAGGGCCCATCACTGGCATCATGGGAGGGCCAGGGAGACTGGGAGGAAGTGGGATCATTTCCTCCGCAGGAGGAGGAGCAGAGAATAGAATAGAGGTATCTTTTTGTTGCTTTGCCAATCGGGCTCTGAGCCTGCGCTTCCATTTCTGGTAGTAATCTTTCGCATTCTCTTTGTGTTTCCTCCCACTGCAACGTGTCTTTCTCACGGCAGGTGAGTCATGGGTGAGGTATGTGTGGCAAAGGTCACAATAAAACTTGGGCGTGTGGCTCTGCAGGCTGTCGGCCGCTCCATTAAGTGCTACTGGAAATGACTTACCTGGATTCTTTTCTCCTCAATTCTTCTGAAACTTGGCCGCCCACTACATCTTCCTCAGGTGCTGCTCTGAGCACAGCCCTTTCCTCTTTAGATGCCCAACGGCTCGCCATTGCCTATGAAGAAACGCCACACTCTAATGACAGTTTAGCCTTTCATGGGTGTAACACCTTTTGGTTTATGTCCCACTCTGCCCTATGTTCTTTTACTAGTACTCCTCCCGTAAAATTAATTCCCAGGCTGAAACGCCTCTTTTAAGTCCTTAACCATATTAAATGTTAAGTAAGGGAGAGGTGGAGCTGGGGATAATCTAATTTTACACCTTCATGTTACAGATGAGAATCCTGGGGCCCAGGGAGGCTCAATGTCTACTCGAGGAGGAGACCGCAGCTTTTCCGAGTTCCTGGTCAGGGCTCCTACCACTATAACCTCTCCTGGGCGGACCTATCGCAGGTCTGGCTAGGGGAGAACATGGAGGCCAAACCACCTTGGCTCTCTTCACGTCACCCTACCTTACACAGCCCAGGAGTCACAGCCACCATTTGTCGCAAAGTAAACACATGCAGGGGAGCTGGACAGGAAAGCACTGGCTCTGCTGGCAGCTCGCCGGTCCCAAAGCACCGAACCCCCGATTGGGATGCCCTTGTGTTCACCTTGTCAGCAGAGAGCAGCCAGATCTCTCCTTTACTGTAATTGGGTTAGTCTTTTGGGTTTGCCCTCCTTCCAGCTGTCAAAAGACATTATACAGAAATGGACTGCTGCATCGGCTACAGTTCAGGTGCGGGCTGAGGCCAAAGCAGAGGAAATTTCCAGTCCGTTCGTTAATCACCCTAAATACCAGGTTGCTGCTGGCTGCACTTTCTTCCAGCTGTAATCACTTCTGCTCCAACCGGAGCTCAGAGGTCACCCTGTGAGCTGCAGTGCCCTCAGCAGAGGCCTGGGTGCAAACACATGGAGGGTGGGGGTTGGGGCAGCATCCCAGAAGGCCCTGAGGGTTGTACTCGCCCGGCAAGTCTCCCCATGCCTAGAGGGCATGACATTAAATAGCAAATTTAAAAACACGATGAGTCAAGACAGAGCCCACAGAAGAAAGAAAAAAGTTTTTCCTCCTGCTTTTGAATAAGGGGCCCTGAATTCCTTGCACTGGGCCCCCAGCCCAGCTGTATCTTATCTGTCCAGGCTGCTATAACAAAATAGCATACAGTGGGTGGCTTAAGAACAACAAAAAATTATATCTCACAGTTTTGGAGGCTGGACATCCAAGGTCAGGGTGCCAGCAGGGTCCGGTGAGCACGCTCTTCCAGGATGCAGACTTCTCACTGTATCATCTAGAGGAGAGGGGGTAGGAAGCTCTGTGGGGCCTCATTTGTGAAAGGACTAATCCCACTCACGAGGCTCTACCCTCAAGATGAAGCACCTCCCCAAAGCCCCACCTTCTCGTACCATCACCTTTCACCATATGCATTTGGGAAGACACAAACATTCACACCATAGCCGTTTCTAAACTCTAATGGGCAGCAGGGAACATGTTTCCCCAGAACCCCACAGGTGCCTATAAAAGTGAAGCCCAGCCCATTGGCACCCAGGAGGATCTGTGGAGCCAGGTCTGTGAAGATTTCTGACAGCTGACCCCCAGGGATCCTCAAACTTCAGTGAGCAAAAAATCCCCTAGCGAGGGGGATTTCAGGGGCCACCCCAGAGGCTCTGACTCTGAGGAGGGCCTGAGATTTTGCATTCTAACATGATCCAGGAAGCCGAGGCTACAGGTCAGTGGTCCATACTTTGAGGGGGTTACACTGGTAACTCCCTTAACAGAGGAGGCAACAGGGACCAGTGCCTGGCCCAAGGGCACACGGTCATTGAGAACAGGCACCACAGAACCCATATCTCCACGCTCCAGTAGCACCTTCCCATTGACCCGTCATGTTCTCATGGAGTGTGAGGAAGGAGGGGGTAAGTTAGGACCATGCTCTGTGAGTTTCCATAAAAGCTTGTTGAGCAAGTGAGTATTCAAGCAACTGAATACGCCCCCCTCATTCTCCCTCTGAGGCAAGGCAAGTAGCACCCGGGAGCAGGAAAATCGCCCTTGGAGCCTCAGTTTCCCTAATGGTAGCCGATATTCATGAAGCACTTTGCAGGCATTTACCTTCTCCACGAACCTATGGAACAGATAGTTCTTACCCCCATTTTACAGGTGAGGAAACTGATACTCAGAGGGTTTAAGTAATTTGCCTGAAATCACACAACCAGAGTGCAGAGGCAGGCAGGATTTAAACAGATGCCCTCCGACTTCACAGCCCAAACTCTCCGCCACTCCACCCTAAAGAGACTATACCTTCGGGACACTGACTCAGTTCTGGCTGCTTTCCTGGGGGCCCTCCCATTCCCCTCTTAAGTCCCCACTTTTACCACCCAGCTCAGCCTCGCTCCCTTTGAAGATTCCCCTCAGATGTGCAGCAGCTCTACTCATTTAGGCTCCGCAGGCAGCTCTCTGGGTCTGATCCAATCCACCTGACCCCCAGCCAGTGCTTCTCCTGAGTACCGTGCTGGCCACAGAGTGGGTGTGAGGGACCCCTGGCCGCGGCCATGTGCTTTAGAGGGGCCTGCTCTGCTCCTTCTTTAGCTGAGAAGCTCTTTCATTTGAGATGGAGAGTCTTGGGGCAAGGGGCCGTCGGAGGGGGGGGCGGGGGTTAGTCAAGGACCTGAAGCCCCTCCTTTGAAATGTTCTGAGTACCAAGTGCCCTGGAATTCCCTGCATAAATGGCCCTGAGCCATTCCCAGGCTTTGCAGGAAATTGTCCCCTGGCCCATCCTCCCAAGGGCAGCACTGCTCTCAGGGGCAGCACCAGCTGAGTATATATACCCCTCTAGGCCTAAAGGATGTCTAGGAGAAGGGAGTGGAGTGTCTGTAGAGATGAACATGAGGCTCATCAAGATTCCAAATAAAGAAGGGGTTGGAAAGAGATGAGTAGGCCACTACCTGGGGGCCAGGGCTGAAAGCCAACTCTTCCAATAGTGCCATTATGTTCATTTTCTATTGTTACATAGCAAATTACTGCAAATTTAGTGACTTACACTAGTATATATTTACTATCTCACAGTTTCTGTGGGTTAGGAAACTGGTAGGCTTAGTGGGTCCTCTGTTTCAGGGTGCAAGGTGTTGTCAGGGTTGGGGTCTTATTTGGAGGCTTGAATGAGAAGAACCTGCTCCTCAAAGGTTGTTGGACTGAAGGCTTCCGTTCTTTGCCTGCTTTGGCCAGAGTCCACCCTCACTCCCTTATCATGTAGGCCCCTCCAACATGGCAACTTGCTTCATCAAAGCCAGGAAGGGAGCGCCTGCTGGCAAAAGAGAAGTTACTCTCTATCTTGCGTAACCTAACCATGGAAGTGACAGCCCATCCTATTTAACACATTCTATTGGTTAAAGCAAGTCAGGGGTCTCACCCTCATTCAAAGGGAGAGAGTTATATGGTGGTGTAAATATCAAGAGTTGGGGACCACTGGGGGCCATCTTAGAAGCTGCCTGTTACAGCCACGTCCAACCACAGGACTCAAAGGAATCAGAGGAAGGTCTACAGGCAAACCTCGCCTTCTCAGGCCATTTGAAGTTATATATTTAATAATGGAGGAGAATAAATAATATGTTAGTCAACAGTGGGTTAGCTTGAACTACAGCTTTTAAATATTTATTTATTTATTTATTTAAATATGTTTTTTATTGATGAGAGAGAGAGAGGGAGAGAGGGAGGGAGAGGGAAAGAGAAACATTTGGGCAGCTTGATCAGGAAGCTGCAACTTTGCATTCCCCAGGGAACCACTGGCCCATTTCCCCACAGATCACTGGGGGAAGGGGTCCAACAAAGGGGAAATACTAGCAGATGCATGTGCAGTGACGTTGGGGTGACTAGGGAAGGTGCCTGTCAGTCAAACCTTGGAACACAGATCATTGGCCAGAATGGGCAGGACCACTGCAAGCCCACAAAAATATGGGATACATAATCCCCCAAACAAAGGAGCTTGCTCTGCTGGCTCTTGGCTCTTGGCTCTCCTGCATTCGCCCATGTGTCCCACAGCTATGCCATGGACTGATGGACTGCAGTGGGGAACACAAACTAGGCTAGCCTGATGCTGCACTGGACACTGCTCCGATATGGAGCAAAATTTCTGGACATTGGCTCTGATTCTAGCTCTGCTGAAGCCACAGCTACACTTCTTCCTTGGGGGGAACAAAGGGAAATGGGACCGTGGAAACTCGGGGGTTCGAGTCCACAGGAATAAGCTTCCTACAGCACCGCATTCTCCTATGCGGGCTCTTGAAATTCTTATCCCAGTGGCACCCCAAGAACTCCTCTTCCACCGATAACAGTAGAGTTTCCTTTGACTTCCTTCCCCCTTTGCAAAGACAGTGTTGCCTCCATTTGTAATTGAAACCCTTTATTACATTTAAATTTGTGTTTCTATGACTTTCCCTCTGAACCTGTTATAACACGGGTCTGGTTCCCTCACTAATTAAGGAGTAAAGTAAAACCTTAAACACACTTTCATTCTTGTATCTGTTCAAACAAGAGTCATGCTTTTACTTTTTCCTGAATATTATTTTTTAAGGAGGCTACTGTTAAAAAAAAAAAAAAAAGACAAAATGGAGTTCAGCACCAAACCAAAACATAATGACTAACCTAACTGCAGTTTCAGCCTCTCCCAGGAGTGAAATTTTAAGTCAATCAGTCTGGAATTTCCTGATCGACACTAGGGATGAGGTGATCTGCCTGATAAAAAGTCCTGCATTCCCCTAAGGAAAGTTGTTCTTGCCGGAAATCATCCATTCTTTTAACTTCTTAGTCCCACCCTCTTTTTGAGTATAAAAATCTTCCATGTTGTACAACCCCTGGGAGGGTCCTTCTATTGCTCGATGGGATGCTGCTCGATTCATGAATCACTTAATAAAGCTAAACAGATTTTCAAATGTACTAAGTTGAATTTTGTTCTCTAACACTGCAAAGGTAACTACTAGAACCAAAATTCCAAGAGTCTCTTAAATTTCCATCAGCTGAGACTGCTTAAACTATGGTGCATACATACAATAGAACAGGATGCGGATGTAAAAAAGAATAAGAAAGTTCTCATGACACAGAATCTCTGAGATACATCTACTCAGTCCAGCTACGGGGTTGCCTTATTTGCTGTTCCTTATATGAAGTACACTCTTCCCTCAGGGGAAGTTCCCTCTGCGTTAAAAGTGCACCTCTAGGTATATGCATGGTTCACTCTCTCACTTTCTTCTGGCCTGGGCTCACATATCATTTCACGGGCAAGGGTTTTGCTAACCACCCTCTGTAAAATAGCAACAATTGCCTCCCCTCCTTCCATACACACTTCCTCCTTATCCCCCTTAACCTGCCTTTCTCCATAGCATTTATCACTTTCTACTATAAATTTACTTGTTTATTTCCCACAAAAATGTAAGCTCCATGAGGGCAAGGAATGTATCTGTTTTGTTTGCTACCAAATTCCAAGTACCTAAAAACATGCTTGGCACATTGTAGGTGCTCAGTAAATATTTATTGAGTGAGTGAATATATTAAGTGAAAAGGCAAGATGCTGGGCAGTGATTTTTAGCACGCTTCTATGTTTTGTGTTGTTGTTGTTTTTTTAATTTTCAAATCAGCAAACATTTATTCAGTGCTACTATGTAGAAAACAGTGTGGATTTCCCATGAAGGATTAGAAAGTTGAGTAGCAGTTTATAACCCAATCAAAAGATAAGGCAGGCCATAAAGTGATGATAATAAGGAATATATGGAAAGCAAATTTAAGTTAGAGACATTTTATGCAATGATTTATAATTAAAACAATGTAGCAATGAATAACCATGTACCTATGTATTTTTTTCTATTATAGTTGACTTTAAACACTATTTTATATTGGTTTCAGGTGTACAGCATAGTGGTTAAATAATCATATATTTTACAAAGTGTTCCCCTGATATTCCCAGTACCCACCTGGCACCATATATAGTTATTATTTATGGTTTTTGTTTTTGTTTTTTTAATTTGTATTTATTGATTAGAGAGATAGAGAAAGAGACATCGCTTTGTTGTTCCACTTATTTATACATTTATTAGTTTATTCTTGTGTATGTGCCCTGACAGGGATCAAACATACAACCTTGGGGTATTGGGACAATGCTCTAACCAACTAAGCTACCTAGCCAGGGCCTATTTGTGTGTGTGTTTTATATACATACTAGAGGCCCAATGCATGAAAATTTGTGCAAGAATGGGCCTTCCTTTCCCTGGCTGCCAGCACTGCCTTCACTCCAGCCCGGAGCCACCTTTCTGCCTTTGTTCAGGCCCAGAGCCACCTTTCCACCTTCCCACACTGCCCAGAGGCCAGGAGCGGCTGGGGTGGTGCGGAATGCCTATGTCATTGCCATGGTGATGATGCAAGTGTCCCGCCCCGCCCCCGGCTGCTCAGTGCCTGCATATGCAAATTAACCCACCATTTTTGTCGGGTTAATTTGCATACTCACTCCTGATTGGCTGGTGGGTGTCGTGAAGGTAGTCAATTTGCATCTTTCTCTTTTATTAGTGTAGATATACTAAAGGCCCAGCATGCGATTGAAATCACATGAGGAGGAGCCCCGCCTCCCACCATGCAAAGAAGCACCCCGGGGGCTGCTGGGACCCACGCTTGACTTCCGCCCCAGGCCCCCCCGCCCCCCTGCTTGTGTCCACTCCGGGCCACCGGAGCTGCCGTGCCAGCTTGGGCAGGCCCCCCTGTGTCTGTCTCCATCTTCGCTTCAGGCCTCACCTGCGGGCAACCTCCTCCTGTCTGGTCGTGACCTGTTATGGCATCCTGGCCTAATTTGCATAATATATATATATATATATATATATATAT